TCCTCCTATATTCAGATGATAAATGGGCTAAGGAAAAAAATCAAAGAAACAACATTTCTTAGTAGCACAGATAACATAAAAAATCATGGGGTAACTCTAACTAAACAAGTGAAAGACCCATATGACAAGAACTTTAAGTCTTTGAAAGAAGACATTGAAGTAGGCATCAAAAAATGAAAAGATCTCTCATGCTCTTGGATAGTAGGATCAATATAGTAAAAATGCTAATCTTACCAAAAGCAATCTACAGATCCAATGCAATGCCCATCAAAATCTCAGCAAAATTCTTCACATACTCAACTTCATATGGAAAAACAAAAATCCCAGGATAGCCAAAGCAATCATGTACAATAAAGGAACTTCAGGCAGCATCACCATGCCTGACTTCAGCTCTATTATAGACAGATATTAGTGAAAACTACTTGGTGTTAAAATAAAAACAGACAGGTGGATCAATGGAATCAAATCAAAGACCCTAATATCAATCCATACACCTATGAAGACCTGATTTTTGAAGAAGAAGCTAAAATTATAAAATGTAAAAAAGCATCTTCAACAAATGGTTCTGCCATAACTGGACGGGGACGTGAGAAGATTGAAGATAGATCCATATCTATCACCATGCATAAAACTTAAGTCAAAATGGATCAAAGACCTCAACATAAATCCAGCCACACTGAACCTCTTTGAAGAGAAAGTGGGAGGTACTCTTGAACAAACTGGTACGGGAGACTACTTCATGAACATGAACACCAGTAGCACAGACACTGAGATCGACCATTAAAATTGGGACCTCCTGAAACTAAGAAGCTTTTGTAAAGCAAAGGATATTGTCAACAAGACAGAATGACTACCTACAAAATGGGGAAAGATATTTGCCAACCCTACATCTGACAGAACACTGATCTTAAAGTATACAAAGAACTCGAGAAACTAGACATCAAAAGACCAAATAATCCAACAACAACAACAAAAATGGCATACAGATCTAAACAGAGAACTTTTGACAGAGGAATCTCAAATGGCCAAAAGATACCTAAGGAAATGTTCAACATACTTAGTCATCAGAAAAATGTAAATCAAAACAACTCTGAGATACTATTTTACACCTGTCAGAATGGCCAAGATCAAAAACTCTGAGGACAGCTTACATTGGAGAGGATGTGGAGAAAGGGGAACGCTCTCTATTGATGGTGGGAGTATAAACTTGTACAGCCACTTTGGAAATCAGTGTGGCAGTTCCTCAGGAAAATGTGAATCGGTCTACCTCAAGATCCAGAAATTTCACTCTTAAGCATATATCCAAAGGATGCACATTCATACCACAATTATTACAGCAGCATTATTTGTAATAGCCAAAACCTGAAAGCAACCTAGATGCCCCTCAACTGAAGACTAGATAAAGAAAATGTAGTACATTTACACAATGGAGTACCACTCAGAAGGGGGAAAAATGACAGTTTGAAATTTGCAGGCAAATAGATGGAACAAGAAAAAGTCATCCTGAATGAGGTAACCCAAACCCAACCCCAAAGTAGATATTAGACATAAAGCAAAGGACAACCAGCCTACAGAGAGACATACATGTATCTGCCTAGGAAGGGGAAAAGAGAAGATCTCCTGAGTAAATTGGGAGAATGAAGGCCAGGGGGAAGATAAAAGGGGAAAGGGGAGGTGGCAAGGGGAGTGGGTGAAAATATATAACTCAATAACAATTAAAAATGGCAAAAAAAGAAAAAAGAAAAAACTTTTCTCAAAGTCACAGCAGCCTGTCAGGGTGGAGGTAAAACCTGACGAATGTTACCCTTGTCTTCACATCTTACAACATCAGCTTAGATAGAGATGACACTATGAATTTGCCAATGAACTCTTATTGTGGTAGAATAAGACACAGAAATGGGAAACTCCAAGAGGCTCTAGCAGGGAATTATTTCCTGATTCCCAAACATAGCAGCCACCTTCCCCCTCACTGCATCTCCAGTCTCAAACCTTCCTTTGTGCTCATCTGCCTGGAGACCCAGCTACCCTATGAGAATCTGAGCATCTTTTCATGTAGCCCCTGTGTTCATATGCTACACTATCTCTCAAGGCAGTGCATCCTTCTCTGTGACAGCTTACTCATCCACAACCACAGTACATTGTGAGTTTTAAAATATACATAGGTTTGGAGATGTGGTCACTGCCATTGTCAGCTCTTGTACACACCATTCAATTGTTAGCAGGGTTTGACACTTATGCTAAGTCAGGAAATCTCCCTTAAAGGAACCACGCAAATCTCTGCTTGTCTCTAGAAAAACAGAGCCCAACCGAGAAAAATGCTGCTACCAAGAAGCCTTGCTTGTCTCTGTTCTATTGTTTCTAAAACCCCTTTTTAAGCTTTTGTTAAGTTTTAAGTGAAAGTTCTGGGACCCCACATTGGGTGCCATTTTGTTACAAGCAGTTTTCCTACCAGCCTGGTTCCAGAGCCATGTCAGCCCCAAATAACACACAGAGATGCTGTATTAGATATAAAGCTATTGGCCAGTTATTAGCGTTTCTTATTGGCTAGCTCTGTCTTAAATATTCTATTTCCATTTCTATTAATCTAAGTGTTTCCACATGGTCTTATCTTACTAGAGCGAGGATCCGGACCTTCTCCCCTAAAGTCTTGACTCCCACTTCCCAATCCAGATGCCACGTAAATTCAGCTTCATAGGTTCTCAACTGGGAGCAATTCTGCCTTCAAGAATACATTTAGCGGGTATGGGCCGAGGTTATTTGCTGGGTGGCAGCTGCAGCATGTGTTTGTGACCTAGCACAGTCTTCTCCCAGACAGCAGTTGAGGCCCTGTGAGATTTTAGGACTCCAAGCCTATGCTGACCAGCCACTGCCCGCAAATCCCCCCCATGGAGGAAGAACCAGTGAACCCAGCCCAGAGCTGTGTGAGCTTGGAAGATGTGTGCCTGTATTTCACTGAGGAGGAGTGGGATCTACTCAATGATGCTAGGAAGCTCCTATACCACAACATGATGCTGGAGAACTTCTCGATTGTACTCTCACTGGGACTTCCCATTTCCAAGCCCTTCTCAGAAATTATTTGACTTCTACTATTGATCAGTTCCACAGTTTACATCAATCACCCCAAAGTACCCAGAGAAGAGATTATGCTTCTTCCTAATTCCTTGGAAGAAACTGAGTGATCTCAATTCACTGCAGGTCCTCATTCCCTCCTTCTGATGGCTTTGATGTATGTGTGACACAGCATCTGAAAGAAATCATTGACCTGGGATCAACTGCACATTTCCAGAGGTTTTCATCTTCATGGTTTCCTAACTTTGTGTGTGCCGGATGGATTTCTTCAGGCTCCAAACCATTCAGCCTTGGAACTTCCTAACCTTCATTGATCTGGCTGATGCAATGACAATGCAATCATATGTTTCCAGCCTAAACTTTTATAGTGTTCTTTTCAGTATTTGAGATTAACTTAGGAAAAGAATGGATCTTTCCACCATGTAGGAAGGGACACCTTTTGTGGAGACCTCAAACTTTGTATGTGTTAGATAGAACAACAAGGTGATAGACAACAGTAGAACATCTAATTTGGCCTGATTGGCAATGCTGCCTAAGCCTTCTTAGGGAAAAATTGTGGGGTTCAGTAAGACCAATCTTGTGACTTGGCTACTGGCTTTCAGGCTCTCCATAAGCTCTTCTGAGTTCACCCCCAATGAGCAGATAGTTAGTATGACAACATCTAATGCTTCAGTCCCTTTATTTAGGGACTATTGAATATTCCCTGTCTCAGTGTTCTATTCATGTGAAGAGACACCATGATCATGGCATTTCTTATAAAGGAATTCTTTATAAGGAAATTCTTATAAAGGAAAGCATTTAATTGAGTCTTGCTTGCATTCAGAGGTTTAGTCCATTATCATTGTGGCAGAAAGCATGAGAGCACATGGGCAGATACAGTACTAGAGAGGTAGCTGAGAGTTCTACATCTGGATTATTGGGTTGCAGGAAGAGCATTTGAAACCCCAAAGTCCACCCTCAGTGACATACTTCTCCTCCTAGGTCACACCTACTCCAACAAGACCACACTTCCCAATCCCTCTCAAGTACCACCACTTCCTAATGACCAAATATTCAAATACATGAGCTTATGAGGGCCATTCCTATTCAAACCACCACATTCCCTCAACACTTGAAAAAGTAGTCTTAAACCTATGCACCCTACAGTGCTTATGTGGGAAACTTTCCTTTTTGTCATTTTTACAGTGTTTTAATAAAAATTAAATATTTTTTCTATTTTTTTCCTTTAAAAATTTTAAGCCAGAGGCTAGAGAGATTGCTCAGTGGCTAAGAGTGGGCAGAGGTTTGAAGTTCAGTTTCCAACACTCATGTTGGATGACCCACAACAGGCTATAGCTTCAACTCCAGTATATATTTATTCCTATCTGGCATCCCCTGAGCATCACACTTAAGTACACATAGCCACACAGAGACACATGTGCACAGTAAAATAAACCATTTTAGAAATTAAAAAAAAAGAATACCTTTAGCAATGTCTAAAGACATTTTTATGGTTACAGCTGTGGGTGATGCTGGATTTTAGTGGATATAGGTGGGAGATGCTGCTAAATATCCTATAATGTTCAGGTAGGCTTTCAGATTAAGGAATTATACAAGCCAAGGTGTCAATAGTGATACTATTGAGAGACCCTGAAATAAACCCAGAGCCTACAGCCAGGGTTTGAAAGATTATGTCTGGTAGAGGATCATCTGCCTTAAAGCACTGCTCATTCCCAAAGTAGGGATTGCCTGGGAATCCACAGTGAGTCAGGGGCTTAGACCCTCAGGAGTTTGCCCCTAGGTAGGGATAGGGAAACTCAGGCAGATTCCTACTTCCTTCTATCCTCCTACCTCCTGTCTTTCCCACTAAACCCAGATGCTTACTTTACAGACAACAATAACAGAGTAGGAAGAGTGGAGCATGTTCAGTAAGTGGATGCTCTCTATTTCAGGAGCTTCTCAGAGACCCTCTGTACATTGGCCTGAAACACCAGCGTGTTCGTGGGAAGGAGTATGATGATCTACTGGATGAATTCATGCAGGCTGTGACAGATAAGTAAGTGGACCATGCTACCCCTTTTAGAGAGAGCTCTTAAGAGGTACCATTGCTAAAGTCAACCTCACTTTAGAAGAATTACAAAAGAGGCCGCCATGGCATGCCTTGGTGGTGATCTGAAAATGTCAACTTGACAGGTGCACTTGAAAGTCTGGAAGCTTTGTGTGGTGGTGTGGGCCTATCTCCACCATAACCTTCAAGAAGGCAGAGGGAGCTAAATATCTGTTGTGGGAGGGAAACCCTCTTGGTTTGAGCTGCTCAGAGTAGTTTGTGTGGATACAGACACTGCTATTCTGGTGAAAAGGTGTTAGCCTCCTGATTAAATGCCTTTGGAAAGAAGCAGCTCACCATCTTCACAGGGGAATGTTAATAGACCAGTACAACAGACTCCCCAAATCCATGCCTTTTAGATTTGTGGGAGCCCATGTCTACTCTGGAGAGCATAATGCTGGCAGCTCCACCCTCCTCTCCTGCTTATTCTGCCAGCCACCATGGCTGCCCACACTGGCATGCTACCAGGAGTTCTAGTAATGTTCTCCACAAGCTGGGCAAGCCAGAGTGTTTACAATTCACTGGACCTATGAAGACAAAACACATTTCATTCTCCCTTGAAAAGAGACAAAAGCATATTGAGGTTCTCTAGTGTGGGAAGGATGATGCAGAAAAGAGAAAACTAATAATAAGTCACAGGGTAGGAGCAGAAGTTTGAGTAAGCTAGAAAAGCAGGGGTCAAATGTGCACCTGGAGTAGTTTAGGCCTTGAAACACAATCTTCATCATGGGATGAGAGTAGAGGCAGAGTGAGGTAGATGAAAAGAGGTGATGAGGCAAATGAATCAGGCTTGGAATTTTCCCAGGAAAGAAGGCAAATGAGAATGTACTGAAGGGAATTACAATGGTGTGGCAAAGGTCTAGGCTGAGGAAGAAGGGAAATGAGGACATGGAGAAGTAGGAAGTAGGGAAGGAATGAGGAAAGGTGTAAGATCGGTAAACAGTAAGTTCCAGTGAGAACTGAGAATTGTCACACTGGGTACCAGGTAGAATAAGCTGGTTGAAGGGAAGTGACACTGGGAAGGCTACATGTTTGTAGTCAAGGCCACAGAGGAAATGCAGCACTGGGATGTGGCCACCAAAGAAGCTAATTCAAGCTTTGGTGCCTTAATAGAAGCAGGACATCTAGAACAAAGGAGGTGAGTCCTACTTCACTCTCCCCTTTCAGACTGTCTTAATGCCACCTTCAAATCAACACAAAATGTACCTCTAAAGAACAATAGTGGTGACAGTGGAAGGAAAGAAATGCTTGATTTGGTACTGAGAGGACTCGGAGGCTACTCTGTTTCAAGGAGCAGGACTACTTCTGGCCATCTGAAAGCTATTCTTACAGAAGAGAATTGGACTTGTTTCTGTATGTTCAAAGGAGAACCAAAGGTTACAGTGCCAACAAAGGCCATTTTAGGCACAAAGTAAGTGACACAATACACTAAGTTCTGGATATGTGTTCTCTGCCATGGAAGGAAAGCTAAGATATGTTGTTTGGCATTTTGGTAGTGATTAGTGATTCTATGGATGGCTTCAAGGAGGATATGCTTTTGAATGTGTCTTCCCACACTGTTACTCTAGTTTGACCTCTTTAGAATGCCATGTAGCTAGCAGGATAAGTATTATCATGCCCTTTTGAATGGAAGAAGCTAAAGCCCTGAGATGACATGGTTACTCTCGTGGCTCATAAAGGTACAAAGTACCTTGCAAGACTGTGAGGTGAACCCAGTGTATCAACTCTACCTGTGAGCTGTTTCTTATAATGCTTTGGGACCTGAGCAAAGGGAATGGCATTGCCTTAGAGAACCTATTTTTGCTTCCTGTTTCCATGGCTGGTCGCTTGCTTATGAGTCAGTAGTCATTCCATGATTCCCCAAAGAGAAGTCTTGCTATTCTTGTGTAAAGGTTAAATAAACTAGGATGTCAAGAGGCTTTTTAAATCATCATCAAAATCAGTTTACAGCTCCACAAACACACAGGCAGTCCAGGGTAAACCCTTAGGGAAGAGTGTATATCAGCCAACAGGAATGTGTCCTTCTGCGCAAGAGATGACAGATGGCTTGACAGTTCATTGTTTTGACTTTCTAGCAAGCTAGAACAGATGTTTCTGCAGATACTGTAGGTGGAAAATGATCTCAGCTCCCCAGGTACTCTTGAGAATGTACTAGCCTGGCCTGAGATGAAATGCCTGGCCTGAGGGTGAGTCAGAATCCCTGAAGACAAACACTCTGTTTTTTAAGAAAGAATCTTGGGAAAGTGTGACTCCTGCCTTCATTGTCCTCATCACTGCCCAGACATCCTGCCAATGAAAAGCTTCCTCTTTATACCCTTCCCTACTAACTGACACATCTGTAGATTCTGTGTGGGAAAAGAGAGAAGTATTGACAAGTCATTACTCTTGCTTATTTCCTGCCTTTAAGGTTGGTCACTGAGGAAGACCAACCTTAGACAAAGGAATATTCAGTTAAGTCTGAGTGGTAATATATTATTTATGATCTATTAAAACTTGCCTGAGGATTCAGAAAGCAAAGCCAGCCTCAAGCTATATATATATCAGTGGTGATACATACCTTTAATCCCAGCAGCCAGAAGCTAAGAGGTGGTACATACTTTTAATCCTAGGAATCAGGATTAAGAGGTAAACAGTTCTCTGTCAATCCAAGGCCACCCAGATCTACACAAGACTGATCCAGTCCTAAAGAGATATAGCTCACACAAAGATGATCTCAGCACCTGGGATCACATACTTTTAATCCCAGCATTAGAGGGGTATATAAAACAAGAGCAAGGTCAGTATCAGGTATTCATTCTCCGGCCACACTAAGAATAGGAGCCATTCATTCTCTAGCCAAATTGAGAATAGGAATGCTCCAGTCCTGTTAGAGGTAAGCTCTCTAGTAGCTTGGCTGCTTTGCTTCCCCTGTCTTCAGGCAAGTTTTAATAAATCACAAATAATACATCACCACAAGACTGTGAGTCACAGGGGTTGGGATGTAGCTCAGCTAGTAAAGTGCTTGACCTAGCATCCTCAGTGGTCCTGGGTTCAATCTCTGTAGTCACATAAACCAGGATAGCAGCACACAACTGTAGTCCCAACTTTTAGGAGGTGGATGAAGGATAATCAGAAGTTCAAGGTTATCCTCAGTTACATAACAAGTTCTAGGTCAGCATGGGTTACATGAGTCCCTGTCTCAAAAAAAAAAAAAATAGATAGATGATAGATAGATAGATAGATAGATAGATAGATAGATAGATAGATCTGTGACCCACAATAGAAAGCTGAGTGTAGTTCTCAAATCATTCTGTCTTTCCTTCTCTCCTATGTGGTAGGACCTGAAGTATCATATCTGGACTATACTGGAGCTGCTTTGTAGGCCAGGATAGCCTTAAACTCACAGAAATCTGCCTGCCTCTTCCTCCAATTTCTAGATTAAATGTGTGCTACCATGCCCAGCCCTAGTTGCACAAATTCTAAATCTATGAATTCTTAAGCTACTTAGGTTTGAGGAATCCGGAAAATACTTGATTTTAAAGACCTTTAGTGTACAAAAGAAGTCATCTACTCTTTTTCTTTTCAAATTCTTTTTAATTGTATTTTTTGTCAAATTTATAAATAACCCCTTTCATGTAAAATTCTTATTTCTTTTTTATTTTTCCTTTTATTTAGATTAGAATCAAGCTTGGTTTACCTGTCAATCCCAGTTCCCTTCCCTCCTTCCCTGCCCCCCATCAACCCTCCATCTCATCCTTTTTCTGCTCCCCAGAGAGGGTAAGTCCTTCCATGGGGAGTCTTCAAAATCTATCATATCATTTGGAGCAGGGCCTAGGCCCTCCCCCCACCCCATGTGTCTAGCCTGATAGAATATCCCACTATGTGGAATGGGCTCCCAAAGTCCATTCATATCATAGGAATAAACATTGATCTACTACCAGAGGCTCCATATATTGTCCAGGCCTCCTAACTGACACCCACGTTCAGGGGTCTGGGTCAGTTCTATACTGGTTTACCAGCTATCATTCTGGGGTCCTTGCTCAGGTCAGCTGTTTCTGTGGGTTTCTCCCACCTGATCTTGACCCTTTTGCTCATCATTCCTCCATGTTTGCAACTAGATCCCAGGAGTTTGGCTCTGAGTTTAGCTGTGGTATCTGCTTCTGCTTCTGCTTCTATCAGCCCCTAGATTAAGGCTCTAGGATGGCATGTAAGGTAGTCATCAATCTCATTATTAGGGAAGGGCTTTTAAGGTAACCTCTCCACTATTGCTTGGATTGTTAATTGGGGTCATTCTGGTAGATCTCTGGACATATCCCTGGTGCGAGATTTCTCTTTAAACCTATACTGGCTCCCTCTATTATGGTATCTCTTTTCTTGCTCTTCTCTATTCTTTTCCGACTCAATTTTCCTGCTCCCTCATGCCCTTTTCTCCTCTCCTCCCCTCCTCTTTCTCCTACCTCTCTCTCTGCTCCCCCCATGCTCCCAATTTATTCAGGAGATATTGTCCCTTTCCCCTTCTCCAGGGGACCATGTATGAGGACTCTGCTTCTCTGGCAGTGTGGATTGTAGGCTGATGATCCTTTGTTGTATGTCTAATATCCATATATGAGTTATTACATATCGTGTTTGTCTTTTTGTGACTGGGTTGCCTCATTCAGGATGGTTTCTTCTAGTTCCATCCATTGACCTGCGAATTTCAAGATTCCATTTTTTTTTTGTTTGTTTGTTTACTTTTTTCTGCTGATTAATACTCCATTATGTAAATATACCACATTTTCTTTAGCCATTCTTCAATTGAGAGGCACCTAGGTTGCTTCCAGGTTCTGGCTATTACAAATAATGTTGCTATGTCCTTGTTGTATGAATGTGCATCTTTTGGGTATATGCCTAAGAGTGGAATTGCTGGATCTTGTGGTAGACTAATTCCCATTTTCCTGGGGAAACACCATACTGATTTCCAAAGTGAGTGC